AGGAGGACCGTATTCAACGGGCGACGGATGTCGGAAAGACTGTAGTCGGCGTGCAACGTAAGTTAGGAGGACCGTAGTCGGCTGGCAACGGAGGTCGAAAGGACTGTAGTCTGACGACGAAGATCAGTAGGACAGCGTCAGGTAGAAGTACAGCAATGGAAAGAAATGCATCTTCGCATAGACGTCCAACTAAGTCCGATAACCGGTAGAAGTCCGGCGCCGGGTAGAAACTTGGCGAAGAGTGAAGGTCCGACGTCGGGTAGAAGTTCGACGTCTTTGATGGCAGAGGAGAACTCCGGCTTCACTTGGGCGGAGTTTCGGCGTCATGAGGGAACTCTGTTGTTAATTGGGAAGGATTTCAGCATCACGTGGAAGTTGTGCATAATTCCTGCGTTTCCTGAAAATCCGGCAGAGTTCCGGCGTCTTCAGGCGGCAGGAAGAGCTCCGGCGGTGGTCGAGGAGGTGAGGAATCTCCTTTTCCCCTTTCTCCTCTTCTTCTTCTCTCTCTTCCCTCCCCTCCCCTTGGTGTAGAATGAGGGCTCTATTTATAGTTTTTCTGGAGTGGCATAGCCCGTAAATAGGCGTGAGATCAAGGGCGAATTGAGGGTGGTTTGAATAGACGGCCGATATCGAATCATTTGATCATGCACCGTTCGTTGGTCATTTAGAAAACTTAATGAAGTTGGAATTCCATGATCCTAGGCTCGTTGGATTTGCCTCGTCGAGCTGTTCGAGGTCGGTTCTCCCGTCCGCACTCCGCACCTAATAATAGCTCGTATGAATGAGCCCCAAAAAATTTACTTGCACTTCATAAATCCCCAATCCACCTCCTGCATTGGTTGCAGTCTTGCACCGAAATTATATCAAGATATTTTAATAAAAAAATATCAAGATAAAAAAAATATTTATTTACTTATTTCATATATATTTTTTAATTTCTAAATGATTTCAATGTTGTATTATATTTTTGTTAAAAGTTCAATAATTTATACAATATTTTCTTATTTTTGAATAAGAGAGTGAACTTATCATTGAAATTGTGATTATTCACAAATTCAATACAATTAAAAAAGCTTGAAGTAGTAATTATTGCATTAATGCATGATACAATAAAATTATTAAGAATTGATATATCAAAAAATTCATCTGATCAAATATTGATTGTCAAGTAATAACAACACCTGCCATCTCTATCACTTGATACCATTCATTGACAAATATTGACACACAATATCACTCTCACATGATATTCCACATTGACCTTCTGCCATCTATCAATGACAATTGTTTGACATTTGTCACACTTCGACCTCTTATATCATCATACGAGTTACATGATCTCTCTTTCTATTAGGATAATGATTGAGCTTATTAGTTTTGTGTGGAATCTGATTGTGTCGAGCAATTGGGTTGTATTGTTGCCTTGGGCCTCAATTACATCGGTTGGGGTCATTGGGGGGGTGCAATCCCTCTGCTTGGGTTCATGTGCAAAGCATCCAAAAAAGTATTTTCATACAACCATACAGCGATGTGGCGTTGTGCACCTAAGCACCACGACATTGTATTGTCTGGTTGGAGGCAGACAAAGAGTGAAGTGTTGCTACGCTTCAAACCTCGGAGCTACAACATTGTTTAACGTATTTGAGACATAAAACAGAGCGTCGCAATGCTCCAAACATGGTGCCGCAACGCTGAAAGACAAGCCGTTATTTTTTCTTTCTCTTTTTTCATGAAGGGTTGTGTCCCTTGGTGGTTTTTATTGTGTATCTCTTTATTAGGTCTTGTAAGAGGACATTGGAAGAGTGAAGAGAGATAATGACAGAGTGAGAGAGAAGAGTGAACTATAATATTTCTACTAAATTTTCATAGTGAAATTTTTAATGTGGTGTCATTCTGTAGTTTTTTCTCAGTTTCATATTTTTCTGCTGTAAATCTTGGTGCTTTTTCTTTTCGTGGCAATTTCTGTTTTGCTATGTAATTTTACTTTCCCAACATAGTAACCACTGGATATATTCTAAATTATGATGTCTTTTCACCTATTATCTGATGCTTACTAGCACTCAATGCCAAAGCATAGTAATTACTAATGCTCAACAACAATCTTATTATTCACCACTCCATTATGTTAGGAAAACAACTAAATTAACCTCCTAAGTCATCTAGTTTCTAATATTTTTCGTCAACCGTCATCCAACACATACCAATGACCAATGCCTAATGTTTATCAACTACTGATGTTTAATAACCATATTATATATCTCATATTCTCTCCTCCTATCAATAGAATGATTGAACAAACCATAAACATTGATTAACATCGATGCTTGTTATTTTGATCTCTCATAATAAGAGTATGGCAGACTCAACTGCCAACCATTACTGACATCTTATATTCATCATTGAATGTCATATACTCCTTATGAATGATTGATGTCTAACATCTATCAACTATTATAGTTTGAAACCTACCTTCATGATCACTAAGTCTACCCTTCAATACCGAGAATGCCCAAGTTAGTTGCTAAACACAGCCCACTTTTTAAGTTCGTTATCAAATATTACCGAATACCGGGTAATGAACAATACTCGATATCTATCAATCATCAATATCCTATACCTGGTTTACTTTTCTTTTGATCTTCTTTCATATTAAGAGAATAAACATTTGACTAGTAATGATCACCCAACTACAACCATCACTCAACAAGAATCTTGCTAATTGATGCTTGACAGATATCTTATATATTAGTCGCCCAATTTCCCTTTCTATTGCGAGAATGATCAAGTAGATTGCCAATTATCTAATCATCATCCATCAAATTATACCGATTAAATAAATATTGAAAAAATTCATATAATATATTTTTTTTTCTTCTTCTTTTTTGAAGGGGTTTCTCGCTTTCTTCACATATTATTAATAAGCTAGATAGTCAACTTCTTATCCGGTTTCATCCGTTTTACAGAAACGCCCAATTTGAATCAATTATTGTGTTGAAGAGTTCTTCGAAGGTAATTTTGTAAATTTTTAATTTTTAAAATTTTAAATTTTATGTGTGTACTTCTTCCTTAATTTTATTTTTGACCGTTAAAAGAGCCAAAGAGCGTCACTATTCTATGTTATATTTTTATTTGTAATTTGAAGCCTCATCAACCATTTGCAGACCAGCTCTCTATAACCAAAATCACCAAACACGCAGAAACAAGCAAATTCCCAATCATTAGGGCCTTCCTATTGGTTATAATATTATATTTAGAAATTAAAAAATTTATGAAATAGTTATAACGATTAAATAAATATAGAATAAATTCATATAATAATAAATTTATTAAAAAAGTTATTTCAATTGTTAATTGTTCATAAAAAGAGATATCTATGAAGAAGAAATAGTCATGGGACATTATAGATTAATACATTAATGAGAAATTTTATTTTAATATAATAACGATAAAAAATATTTAATAAAGTAATATAGAATTAGACTTGAATAGTGATTGCGTGCCAGAATAGTTGTGACGATAAAGAAATAGAGAGTTTAATGTCTTAGTTTTGTATGAAGATTCAACACACAAACAGATAAAGGAGAGAGGGGGTGCAAGAGACATACGAGATATTATAATTTTTACATGAAAACCTTAAAAAGAGGGAAAAAATCTTAAGGTCATTCCCAGTTGAAATGATTCCATTGTTATTTGTTATTGGTTATAAAAGATGGTGGTCTGAGTACTGTAGTCAGCGGACGACAAATGTTAGAAGGGCCGTAGGTGATGATGTTATGAGGACCATAGTTGGTGGGCAATGAAGGTCTGATGGGCCGTAGATAGGCGATGGGGACGGAGGAATCATAGTTGAGCAATTGAGATAGGAGGGGTTGTAGTCAGACAATTGTGATTCGAAGACGTAGTTGGTAAGCGATAGATCGAGGATAGAAGGACTAAGTCTTGTTGGTGAAGAAGGTCGAAGGGACCATAGCTAGCGGGTAATGGAAATTGGAGAAGAGCCCTGATGGTGGCTGCTGGACCGAGGATCAACAAACGATGGTTAGGTGAAGGTCTGGTGGCGATAACCGAGCTAAGGTCCTACGGCGGGAGCTGGTTGGACCTCTAGGGATGATAAGCTGGTAAAAGTCCAATGGAGCATAGATATGAAGAAGATTTGAGACAAATTTGGAATGCCCCATCGGATGATTCATATTGATTCCCTCAATAATAGTGTATGTTCATCATTTAAATGCTTGAGTGTATCATAATCAAGCAATCTTTGTCTCGTTAGAATGGTCTTGTAGAGTTGCTCGATTTGTCTATAAGTCTACTATATTTGGATATCATTTGATCACTCAATTAAGATTATGAAGCTTTAAAATATGCTTAAAACTATTAGTTTGAGCTATTTTTGGTTCAAATTAAACCGATTTTGATGTCGTTGGGTTTGTCTTGTCGAGACGTTTAGTTTGACTATCGTTTGTTGAAATTAGAGTTCATATTATCCTGAATTTAATTTTAAAAGTTTTCAATTTCAATATCTCGAAATTCGTATATGATCAAGATAATTTTTGATAGCTTACCAAAAATAATATTAACTTGCTATTAAGTTATTTAAATAATTTTTAAAAAAAATTAAAGAAAAGTTGTAGCTTAAATTATTTATACAATATATTTTTTGAATTAAAAATTATTGTTCTTTTCTTGGCATATATATTTGATATAAGCCTTTAATCATTATTATTTTTTAATTTTATATAATTAGACAGTTAGATGATGTGTCAGATAAATGATATAAATATTTGAAGGAAGCATTCTTATAAATGATATAATTAATTCTTATAAATATTTGAAATGATATATTTTATTACAAGGAAGCATTCATAAATCATGACGTCACTTGATATATATATTTTTTAATTTTAATTTTATGTATTGATTTGATAGAAGGAATTTGAATTGGTAAAACTTTTCATTGAAAAACTAGTCATCGTCGGTCCTGCTGAAACGAGTTGATGGGGATCGATCAGCGGGAATGGGTTCTTCCATCAGACCTTGGAGTCAAGCCTCTCTCTTTCTCGCCCTTTTCGTCTCTGGATTTGTTTGCACTGTTTATAATCGGGGAAGTATGCTTCTTCTTTCAATCGGAGAACGGGGAGGACGGGAAGAGAAGCGGATTTGAACCCTTTGAGCGGAGCTCTTCCTCTTCGGATCTTCGTCTCCTCGATGTCTGTAAGTTTTTTTTTTTTTTTTTCTTGCATAGACTTTTGAGGTGGGCTGTTTTTGTTTTAAGAATGCTGTATATTTATGATTTTTAGCGGTTTTTTTTCTGGTAATTGTTGGTGCATTGCCAAATTGTAGCAGGACAATTTTGGTCTTTATTTTTATTTTTGTTTATTATGATTAGGGATTGTGATTACGTACCTTTGGGAAAAGTTCGAATGTTTGGATTTTTATTCCAACAGTTGCATCTAATCATGAAGGATTTAAAAAAATGCTTCTACTCCCAATTTTTCAGTGCCTTAGTGATATGTTTGGGAAACCGATTACGTGATGCACAGTGATTTTACCCGTCACTGGTTTAATGGGCGTTTCTGATTTAAGTATTATTAATTTGGGAACGTGCTTATGTGTCCGTGAATTTGGTATTGTATGGGCATTAATTCAGTTGATAAAGGTCCTACAACTTATTGTTAAGAATTTAAAATGGATTTCTATCTGCATCAAATTTGTTCTTGTTCATATTGATTTTCTTAAAAAAATTAATAAATAATTGGGCGTCCTGGTTTTAGTTTTTGAGGATTGAGGGTGTTCTTATCTTTTAGGTAGTGTATTTTGATGAGCGAAAATTTCTCTCCTCTTAGATGGTCTACGACTAAGTGTTCTATTAGACCCTCTTTTCTTTTGGAGGCAAGGCAAGAGCATACTTTTCAATCCGATTTTAGCCTCTTTGAAGATGATCCCAATCTCAAGAGTTACAAGTTTTAGAACTTCTAAGAGATAAATCTAGGGTTTCTGACTGCCTAACTTGATTTTTCCTGAATACTAGGCTTGTTAGTCTCATTAATGCTTTCTCTTTTGAGATCCCGCCATTGGTTTCCCTTCCATTTCAAGTCGGAGGTCTCTTTGATCCTTCTGAAGCAATCGCAACCACAACTTCCGCTTGATTTTGTTGAACTGCATTCAGCAGAGCTCCGATTCCTGCAATGGTAAAACTAATACATGTTTGAAGAAATGAAGAAGAACAGAGAGCAAGCCAAGACTCATATTCATATTACTGTTTATCGTCTTTTTACATAGCATTGCATAGTATATATCCTATTACCATGAGTGCAATCAACGGTAAAGATTAAGCAGTTAAAAAGGAACTGTGATTAAGAGTTTGTCAGAGTAATAATGGGAGCTCTGCTAGACAGAGGTAGTGGACATCCGATTATAAGCACTGTTCAATTTATGAAAGGTCGGCTTGCTTATCACCTCCCCGCAAGCTAACAGTGGCTTCGGCAATGTTAAGCTTGTCACGCAAATCCTGAAATCTGGGTATAGACAGAGCTTTAGTAAATAGATCCGCTAATTGATCAATGGTATGAACATGTGATATGCGAAGCACATTGTTCTGAATGCATTCACGAACGAAATGGAAATCTATTTCAATATGTTTCGTTCTAGCATGGAAAATAGGATTGTTAGCAATTGCTATGGAGGATGTGTTATCACACATCAAGACTGTCGGCTTGGATGAAAGAATTTGAAATTCCTGTAATAACCTACGAAGCCAGATAATATCCGTAGCAGCCGTAGAAAGAGCACGATATTCTGCTTCGGTAGACGAACGTGCGACAGTCTTTTGTTTCTTGACTTGCCAAGAAATGAGGTTGCTACCAAGAAAAGCACAAAAACCAGTAGTTGATTTTCAATCAAGAGGGTCGCCAGCCCAATCAGTATCTGAGTAAGCATGAAAGTCAAGACTTGTTGCAGTAATCGGCAAAGCAAATTTAATAGTGCCTTTAATATAACGTAGAAGACGTTTAAGCAGTTTGAAATCAGTATCATCAGGACTGTGCATATGTTGACATAACTTATTCACAGTAAAGGCAATATCCGGACGCGTAAGCGTCAAGTATTGTAGAGATCCTACCAAATGCCGGAAAAGGTCTGCTATAGCGATATTCAGAGGAAGAGCAGGAGTTGTTGGATCAGCAACAAGCTTAGACGGAATTGGAGAAGAAATCGGCTTACACTCAGTCATGCCAGCTCGGTGAAGAATAGAGGCTGCATAGTTAGCTTGAGATAAGTGTAAACCGCTTGCTGTATAAGAAACCTGCATGCCGAGAAAATAGGAAATTCTGCCCAGATTCTTCATGCGAAACTTATGAGAAAGACCATTGAGTAGATGATTAATAACAGTTGTATCATTGCCAGTAAGCAATATATCATCAACATATATCAGAATATAGAGAACAACTGATTGTTTGTGGTAAATTAATAACGAAGGATCGGCAGTACTATGTTTGAACCCATAAGTAAGCAGGTAAGTTGAAAAGGTCTCAAACCACTGTCGGGGAGATTGTTTCAAGCCATAAATAGACTTCTTGAGAAGACAGACATAATCAGGATGTTAAGGAATCCTTAAAACCAGAAGGTTGGGACATGTACACAGTATCTTTAAGATGCCCATGAAGGAAGGCATTTGAAGCATCAAGCTGAAGAATATCCCATTTAAAAATAGTAGCAACCGTAAGTAAAATCCTAATGGTAGGAAGCTTGGCAACAGGACTAAAAGTTTGAAGATAGTCCAAACCATATTGCTGACTACAACCTTGGGCAACCAGCCGAGCCTTATATCGTGCAATTGTTCCATCAGTGTTCAATTTGGTCTTATAGATCCATTTAGAACCTAAAACATTCTGACTGGGATGTGGTGGAACTAATATCCACGTTGCTTGCTGCTGAAGTGCATCAAATTCATCTGACATAGCCTTTCTCCAAACCAAATGTTTTATTGCCTCAGTATAAGAAGTTGGATCAGTTGGAATAGAGATTACATTCATACTGATAATATGTTTTGGTTTTGTCTTCCCTGTCCGAAGCCGAGTTATCATTGGGTGGAGAGAGGGATTTTGAGGTGATGGTGGACGAGTTACTAAAACAGGGGATGAAGATGAGGAATTAGTTGATTCAGAATTTAGTGGTGGCATAGGAACTGGTGTAGAGGAAGGTGAAATGGATGGATTGGATACTGGTAGAGTAGTAGAACAGCCAGGTGAAGAATGTATAGAGGAGATAGCTTTGTCTGTTGAAAATGTAGGAGTAAAAGATTGTATAATGTAAAGAATAAACATGGAGGGTGGACTATATGAAGATGATACAGCATGTGGAACTATAGGAGAATTCTTGTTTGAGGAGAAAGGAAATATATTTTCAAAAAATTTCACATGTCGAGATGTGAATATCTTTCCTGTTACACGATGAAAACAGTGATAACCTTTTGTTGGAAAAGCATACCCAATGAAGATACACTGTAATGATTTAGAATGAAATTTGTTTTTAATGAGATGAGGAAGAAGAGGATAACATAAACAACCAATTGTCTTAAGAAATGAATAGTCATGTGGTTGACCGTAGAGTAATTGAAAAGGTGAGGAGGATTTTTTTGAAAGAGAAGGTAATCAATTTATGAGATAAATTGCAGTCTGGACAGCATGAACCCAGAAATGAGAGGGTAAATTAGCTTCATGAAGAATGGCACGAGTCGTTTCAAGAATATGGCGGTGTTTGCGCTCAGCAACACCATTTTGTTCTGGTGTATAGGGACAGGTGACTTGATGTAAAATGCCATTTTGAGTAAGGAAATTTTGAAATTGGTTTGATGAATATTCTCCACCTCCATCAGAGCGTAAACATTTGATTTTTTTTTGAAAAATGTCGTTCAGCAAATGCTTTGAAATGATAAAAAACAGATGGTACATCTGATTTAGCTTTTAGAGGATAGAGCCAAGAAAAACGACTGAAATCATCCACAAATAACACATAATATTTGAAACCATTCAAAGATACAGTGGACGAAGGTCCCCAAACATCACTATGTATTAAATCTAAAACAACATTTGATCTAGAAGTAGAAGGAGACAAAGATAACTTGTGACTTTTTGAAAGTTCACAAGAATTACAGTGGAAAAATTTAAAACTAGAAACTAAAGGCAGATTTGTTGATTTGCATAATTTTTGAAGAACTGGAGTTGACGGGTGACCCAAACGGCGATGCCAAAGCTGAATTGTAGACGAGGTTGCAGTATAAGCTGAGTGTGCAGTGGAGCTCGTGGAATCAGTATGGATGGGATAGAGGCCTCGACGAGATGGACCGTGAAGGAGAATGTGGTTGGTCTTCAGATCCTTTATTTTGTAGCCAATGGCGTCAAACACAATGGAGCAAGAATTGTCAGTTGTGAGATGATTAACAGAAAGAAGATTTTGAGTTAGATTAGGAACAATGTGAAGGGAGGAAAGATGAAGCTTACGGTGAGGGGTTGGAAGTAAACCTTTACCAGTATGAGTAATTGGCAGAAGATCTCCATTACCGATCATAACTTGTTGATGGCCAGCATAAGGTTTGGGATTGTAGACTTGAGCAGGATCTGATGTCAAATGCGAAGTTGCTCCTGTATCCAACAGCCAGTCAGATGACGGCTGTGAGCTATCAGCGGTATACGCAGGTATAGGCGGTGGAAGAGAGAAATCTGCACGATACCAACATTTGAAAGCCGAATGACCACCTTTCCCACAAATTTGACATTCTACAAAAGGTTGGGAGGAAGAAGCACCACGGCCAGATGAGCTGTGGCCTCTATAGGGCCAGAAAGAAGAACGTCCACGAGAATTTCGACCACGTGCTCGACCTCGCTGAGTTGTAAAAGCTTGAACCGGCTCAGAAGAAGGGGTTGTAATAGATAGTTCACGAACAGACTCAGCTGCCAAATTTAGCTCTTCACTACAGAGAAGAGAGTATAAATCATCCAAACTAATGGGATTCAAATTAGTTCTTATGGCTGTTTTAAAAGCCTGATAAGTACTTGGTAATCCATTCAGCGTGTACAAGATTATATCCTCTGTCGGAAGAGGAGAACCGGACGAGCCAATAGCATCAATCTTGTTCTTGATTTCTGATAGATATTGCATCATAGATTTGTCCTTCATAGAAATGTGATGAAGTTCATTTTTGAGTTGGAGAATGCGAGAGCGGTTTGTTGATTGTAGGCGTCTCTCAATGGTTTGCCAAATCTCCAAGCATGAGTCAAGATTGAGAACATAAGGAAGAAAAGTTGTAGAAATGGTGGAATATAAAACGGCAGCAAGGTTCTGATCAACAAGTAACCAAGTGTAGGGTTTGGAACAATTTTTGGATCAGTAGACAGAAATTTCGTGGGTTTTGGTGTAGAACCATCCAAATACCCGTCAAAACTGTTAGCAGTGAAGAGTTTCAGAATCTGTGATTTCCAAAGTGGATAGCTCTCGGCAGTAAGTTGAATATTAAGAACAGATTTGACATTTGTCATTAAAAACTTAAGCTGTGAAGGAATGGCAACATCTGCCATTTTTACAACCGCCAATGTTTGAGAGGAGGTTGAGGATTGAGAAGGAGTCTCCATTAGTAGAATAAAGTAAGAAACAGAGTACAAGAAAAAATCAAGGCCGGAGGGCACAACAGCTCTGATACCATGTTGAACTGCATTCAGCAGAGCTCCGATTCCGCAATGGTAAAACTAATACATGTTTGAAGAAATGAAGAAGAACAGAGAGCAAGCCAAGACTCATATTCATATTACTGTTTATCGTCTTTTTACATAGCATTGCATAGTATATATCCTATTACCATGAGTGCAATCAACGGTAAAGATTAAGCAGTTAAAAAGGAACGGTGATTAAGAGTTTGTCAGAGTAATAATGGGAGCTTTGCTAGACAGAGGTAGTGGACATCCGATTATAAGCACGGTTCAATTTATGAAAGGTCGGCTTGTTTATCAGATTTGAGCTTGTGCTTGGGAATAAATGGATGAACCAAGCTTGATTTTGTTGTAACTTAAGTTTGAGTCATCTCGACTCATTTATACCTCTAGGCTCCTCCAACTTGTTGAACTCTTTAATTGAATACTTTGTGAGAAAGTGCCCCATCTATGATGCTCTTGTTGCCATGTTGAAGAAACTTTGGAAGACTAAAAGTCATATAGATGTTCAAAATGATAAATTTTGTTCTTCTATAAAATTAAATAAGCTTAAAAGAAAAGAAGATATCGAATCTAATTAATATAATTGTTAATTTGTTCTTTTATGAAAAGAAAAAATAAACATAATGAATAAGGAGAGAATCTAAACAAATTCATTATTAAAGACATTTAAGTTATGCTTTTCATGATTAAAAGACTCCTATTATTCTTTGATTCTTCCATGGTTCTATCGTTCCCATCATTGGTATTTTACTCAATTGACAATACGTGTGTTCAACATGTGTGTATTTACTTATTTATTTATTTATTGTTTTTTAATTGGATACTTTGTTGGCATTTTTGACATGTGTCGGCTATGTGTTGGGGGTTTGTCATGTCCTTTGATAATATTTTGATATTATAAAATATTTGTACATCATAAATTCCCTCACATCATAGAAAAATATTGAATGATTTTTTTCATAATATTTTAAAATGTATTTGAAATGCTATAATTAAAATCATCATTCATTTTGCTTTTGTGTTCACTATTCTTGAATCATTGTTAAATCTAAATCTTAAACACGCTTAGTTGGCTAATTAACCTTGGAATCATGATCTTGCAATTGAACCTTCTTAAATTGAACTTGTTGAGCTCATTTTAAGTTGTAAGTGCTTCTAACAAGTCTAATTGATACGATCATCTCCATGACGAGGATTTACATTTCTCATCTTCATTTCATTTTGTTAGCAACTATTGCATATCGGGTGTTTCGGGTAAAGGTCATCACCTGAGTTCGTGGGAGTCATCACTTTGGGCTCATGGGGCCTATTAGCTTGAGTTCGATTTGATATTAAAAGTTATCGTACCAATAAGGTAATTGCAAAGGTACTTACAACATGTTGGTCAAATCAAGTAAGGGATATTCATCCTGAGCTCATAGGAAATCATTACCTTTGGTTCATTGAGCAACCTATTGGTATATGCATATCGGCTCACGGTTGAGCAACATATTGGATGTGAATCCTTTTAGTGTTGTGCAAGGGGTAAAATCAAATTTTAGGGAAGTTGCATCCCTGTACTAGCATGAGGCTTAGATTGTTATTTTGGTGATCTATTTTTTTTTTTTTTCATTTTTACTCTTTTTAGAGTTTTTGGTTTGTCATCATTGGTGGATTTTGTCAAATTTCATAAATTTTAGGTTTTTTGTTTCTGATGTAATTTTTGTTCGACATGTACTATTTTGTGGTCTTGAATTTTTATGCAAAATAATTTTAATTGATGGCAGTGAATTGGGAATTTTGACCCTTGTGTGTTGTGTATTACATCATAGTTGAATTAGAAAGCCCTAGATTCTAAGATGGTTTGCATGACCTTAGCTCCTGACTAACATAGCCTAATTAACATGCTTATTCTGATCTTTTCTTCTTCTTCTTAAATGATTGGCTTTGTTAATCGCACGTCTCTTCTATTCTAAATCTGGTCTAACACCTTTTTTTATTATTAATCACGGAGCGTTAGAGGCTTAAAAATGTAAACAAAACTCATCTAATGTAATGCTCTCATGAAGGGCAATTTCCCATTTGGTGATTGGAAATACTCGGAGAAGAAAAATATCATCAATGCTGCTCTCCAAAATATGTCTATACACTATGGATTGTTTTTTCCTTTTTTTTTTGCAGTTTTCCTTTATTTCCCATCTGAGATATTTTGAAGCTAATTCTATTCAGTATTTTCACTTTGACATAAAATGCTTCAAAGCACTTCATTTTAACTAGAATGATAAGATAATTCCTGGTGCTATCATTCCTTAAGATTCAGGCTTCGTTTGTCACGGCTGTTTTTATACTTAAAATAGTTTTTGAGTATAAAATTTTTAACTTTTGTATTAATAAATTTTTTAACTTTTGTACTAAAAAAGTTGTTTTAAGAAGCAGTAAGAAAGCCATCCCAAATGAAACATCAATTTCTTATATTGTGGTTGTCTGCATGAACAGGTTCGTTATTTCTTTTGATATATATATAGATAGATAAGTTCTTATGTAAATTTTGATTGCACAAACGGTCGCAGGCATCTAAATGGAAGTACTCTGAAAGTCCACCGATGCATATAACATCAGGGACAATGTTCAACCCAAGTGGCCCAAAGGGGAGCCTTGGAAAGAACTCAGCCTCCCCTCAAAGGCGGCCAGCCGGAACAAGCGAAAGCCATGAAAACAGAGCTGGGCTCTATCCTCTTCGCCACCACCATCATCATCAAAGAGTTGCAAACAAAGTTGGGGGACACTCTCCCTGGGAAAAGAAAAGTCCTCCAGAAGGTGGCCACGTTGTAGCTCCTAGCACTCCAGGAAGGTCTCCACTGAAAGTTAGCAGTCGCTCTGATGAATCAGTAATAGTTACTTCTTTGCTTCATCTTCATTTATGCCTTGCTTGAATGAAAAAGGAATGATTACAGAGTATATTGTATGTGTTTGAGAGTTTTAAATGGATGAATTTGATTTCTCATGGACAGCCTGAAGAAGGCATTGCTGTGCCGAAGTTTGGTGACTGGGATGAGAGCAATCCATCATCGGGTGAAGCCTTTACTGACATCTTCAACAAGGTGCAGAAAGAGAGGCAGAGTAGTGCAACAAAAGTTCCTATGATCATTGATGATTCATTTTATCTCAATAGTTACCATCATGAAACTGCTAGCAGCAGGCCCACTGTAAGTGTCTTATTTCATTTGGTATAATACTAATTGGTAAGTTATCTAACTTTAAAAACATTCTAATGTTTCCAGAAATTTTGCTGCTTCAGCTGGGGAAAGAAGTGAGGATAGTATGGCATAAAGTAATATCTTCAAAGGTTAATATATTTTTGAAGAGGTTATGTATCAGGAGTTTCATTCTTTTTAGTATGTGTTTTTTATACAGAAAAGCTTGTTTTGAAGAAGGTTTATTCTTATAATACAAGGAAAATCTGATTTTGTGTATCATAATGCATCTATTTCAATAAATATGCTTTTATATTTTTATTTGGGAAAATGTACCAAAAAATTCATTTTGGATGAAACAACTCTTTTATTAAAATGTGAAGAATACTCCCTCATAGTTATGTGAATTTTCTAATAAGAGTAATTCTCAAATTTCTCTCTTTCATGCATCTTCTTCAACGATTTCAAAGTTAGAATGAATGTAGCCATCGACATTGTCTTTTGGCTTGATCACTTTCGTATCAAAGCCTCCAACACGCTCTTTAAAGCGATATCTTTCAATGCCTATTATAAAGGTTAGTGTTGATGTATTTTTTCTTATTTAGGTTAGAACATAGGCTATAATAGGAAAAGGACTATATGTGAACCTTAGGCTAAAAAACAAGCTTCAAAAGATTTGATTATTGTTGGAATACATAATAATATAATATGGGATATGAGCTTAGTTTGAAGAACATTAAAGCCACACATTATATGTTTGAACTTTATTCAAACTTCATTTTGAAACCTAGTATTTAGTCATTAGATGTGAAATTAGGTATGAATTGGCTTGAAACATAGGTTCAATTCAGGTTCAAATACCGTTCAAGCTTTTAATATTATGTTTAATTCTTGTTCAAATATTGTTTGAACTCAATAAACTTAATATTCGATCATTAGATTCGAAACAAATATGAACTAGGTTAGAAATTTTTTTTTAATTGAATTGGAACTACTATTTGTACATTTGCTTAATAGAAGAATCTCAAATAAGATTTCAACATTATGAATTTATGGAGTGCACTACTAGGAAAGATATATGAAAATTAGGTTTATACTTTATTTTTGATGTCATTCTGCTCAACCATGAGAGGTATAGCATTGTTTTCACTAAGGGATTGTTTAGTTGCCTGAAAAATAAATGCAATATAAAGTAAATGCAGTGTAAAAAAAATATAGTGTATTTATAATACTTCATAGCTGTTTAGTTGTTTGCAAAATAAATGCATGAAAACTGTTTTTCTTTTTTGGTGAGGTATACACAGTGCAAAGTAAAAACAATGTATTTTGAATACTTTTAGAGCTGTTTGGTATGATGAGCAGTATTAAAGTATAATATTTAAATGGAATGGTAATAACACTATTCAATGAGCAATCAAACATACTAAACAATATTATCAATGTTTTATAAATCCAAAATACATATGAAGGCATTATAGAGCAAAATGTTTATATATATAACACAAAACAACTCCAAAAACATCAAGCTATTATAACTCATAGTGCTAACAATTTGCACATCACTAATCATTTTTCTAACTCTCTACACATCCATCTAGCCTTCGACTCCATAGACTTCGAGAGGAAAAATTGTATCATTGTCGGATTCTTTTATAAGTTGTTGTATAATGTATCAGCCTCTTATTCAGAAAATCCAGGTATGACTGATAGCTCAGTCATAAGTTCAGTGAACATTTTCTTTTCTTAAGAGGTTATTGCTGTAGTTGTATTTTGTGTAGCGTTTGCAACTTGATTGAAACTATCGACCATCAACACAATATATTCTTGGAGAGTTAGATTAACAACATATACTTTACTTTTCTTTTTGGAGGCACTAGCTAGTGTAGATGAACTTAATGGTCTCTTTTTTGTTCTTATGGATTCCTCTTTAATCTCCACATCAGGCCAATCATTAGTTAGAGATACATCCACACCAAGTTCCATAAATACTGACTCGTTGTCGTCTTCTACATATATTTGCTGAGTCCCAAGTGAAGTTTGAGAATTACCAGCTTTGGCCCACTCTTTAGTTACATGCCCTTCACCGCATACCTTCTCCAGCTCAACATAATTTGGAATTGGCATATTCAAATCAGCAACATCCTTTGGGCGTGTTACTAATTATTAAAACATTCAAAATTTAATGAGACATTGTACCTTTTACTACTTTTTATCCATCTGGTCTTTATAATGCATCTTTAAGCACTATTGCATCACGAGCAGATCCTTCCCAACCAGCGAGAGCATAGGTGAATCTCAAATCAAAGTTAATTGCTGCTAAAACATTTTATGTTGGGTATGGTTTCCTTCCTCTAAATGAAGATTCATTCGATTTAGGAACTCTAGTTTTGATGTGTGTTTCATCTATAGCTCCGACACAATCCTACTTTTGATAAAATGCATCTTTAGAAGACCACTAAAAAAATTGAATATTATCAAATGTGATTCGATTATACGTACAAAAATTGGCATGAACTTACTACTTTTTTGAATCTTCCAAGGAGTTTCGAGACTTGGAGGCTTAATAAATTCATGGCATAGTTCCCCTACAACATATAGTGCAGCTTTAAAATAGCTACTAATTGTTTCCTCGGAGCGTTGTAAGTTAAATTGAATGACTCAGTTACGAACACTATGTCAGAGTGTATGTAAAAACATAGCCATTTTTTCTTCAATCAAAACATAAAATGTTTCTACCAATAATCTTCATGTCCGTGCTAAGTCACATAGTTTGAAGAAAGCTCTTTTCTCATGCGTATCATATCAATACAAGCATAATCAGATTCGTCATATAACCTAGAAAGATATGTGAGCCGTTGTATATTCCGTTGTGAATTATATTTTTTCCTTTCTCTGTCAATTTGACGTAATAACAAGCATATAATAGTAAATGTAGCATAAACCACTGCTTGTGTTGCGGAATAAATTTATGTTTCATCTACACATGGGACACTCAAATGCTTATCGAAATTGGATAGTTGATCTTCAACATCTTGTAATTGTTCATCCATAGCTACCTATAGTGATCTATAAGTTTCCAAAAAGAAAAAGGTTGTACCTAACAATTTTGCTACAGAACTTGCTTCCAAAACTAATAACCAAAGATTTCAATTGGGAAAAAATAACCAAATATGTAGAAAATCAAAATGCAATCTATTTCTTTATTCAAAATTTAAAAAAATGCTTTCTCCTAATGTTAAAGTGAGAAAGAATCCTACAAACACCATTTTTCAAATCCATTTCTTTCTCCAATACATAAAAGAAATTTCACAGAATGGCTCAAGAGCCCTACAAATGAGTGATGCCGAAGATTCCAAGTGAAAAAAGAAAAAAGCAAAATGCAATTTTTTTCATCTGATAATTCGCAAAACAGCAGGAAGAAACCACAGAAGAACAACCCAATCTTTTCATCTATCATAATAACAAGTCAAATAAGAAGGAAGAAAGGAAGAGACGAACCTTGGTAAGCAAGGTATGAATAGACGAACGTTTGGGCTTTGCGAGATGCTCCCGAACGGCTGGACTTCATTGCACACTCTGAGGAAGAACAACACTGAGGATGAAGGACGAGCACGATGAGCAAACACCTGGATCGAGCAATCAAACACGATGAGGATGACAGACGAGCACGCATGCAAGAGGAGGATTTCAGGAGGAAGAACAAAGTTGTTTCTTGGATTTCTTTCGTGAGGAAGACACGGACACAGAGTCACGCGCGCCCCGTTCCTGCGTTCCAGAATTTTGTATTCATAACTCGTCCAATTTGAGCTGGTTTGGAATACACCAAAAATACATTATCCAAGGAGTTTTAAATACTTATTTACTTTACATCTACTTTATATCATATCAAACACAAAAAAAAAAACCCTGTATTTACTTTACAGTACCCTCTAAATATTGGCCGCAACCAAACAACCCCTAAGATTTTTAGCATTGTTTGAAGATGAAGAAGCATTTTTTGGATACCTATGGAGAAGATTATCATCAAAGATGATCGAACAAGTATCTAGTCCACAATGAGCGAAATGTTTTGATGGAGAAAAAGAAGAGTGGTAGGAAAGCCATAGGTCAATAAATTGTCAGTAGATATATTATATGGTTGCAATTTTAGACTTATGAAATAATATTTAAACTAAGGAATACATGCATTGAATATATTTGAGAGAAAGCTCCTAGGATGCTAAGTTGAAAGTAAAAGTGATCACAGGAAAGATATCTTATTATTAATAACGGATAAAGATAAATAATAAGCATGTTATAATATTTGAAATAGTTGTTTAAGTTAATTAGTTGCAATAAACTCTTAACAATAGTTTAAATTATTTTCATAGGTTATTATTAGCTTTACAATGTATATAACTGATGAGTTCATGCTCCCTCCAATTAGTTTAAGTAGTTTTTTTATAGTTAGGAATTTGAAGAATAACCAATTTAAATCAAAAAATGATTATCCGATATTAAAATTAAAATTTTATACTTTAATAATTTTATTTAGTGATTTGTACATAGGGATAATAAGAATAAATGTGTTGATTGTGGTACTTATGTAAATGAGTAGAAGGATAATGAAGGATTTTAATATTGATTTTGTCATTCATAATGAGATGGAAGATGATGTGGTGAAGGAGATTGAGGATGTTGATTCATCTCTTGATGTTGTAAATAAAGATTGTATATTTTATAGATTTTAAAGGAGGATGCTGAATAATAAAAATTATTTTATTGAATACTTCATAGATCCATATGGCAAGAGGCACAAGTCAACATATCCATGTGTTAGTTATCCCCTTTGAATGATTGATGAAGAGTAGTTCTCTTTCTTGAGACTTGGATAATAAGTTTAGAAGAAAACTCTTAAAAACGAAGATTGGAATGAGCAGTGAAAGCGCAACTTGATTTCAATTGTTGAATAAAATCACGATTTGACTGGATAGTAAGGTAACTATTTTATTAGTCCATTGATTATTTAATAACTTTTTTTAATTATATGAAAACACCCACATTAAAAGAGAAGCATAATACTAAGTTAAGTGTGGCAGAGATGAGAATGCTCAGGTGGATGAGTGGCTTTACCCTTAGAGATAGGATACGAAATGAGCATATACGTGAAAAGGTTGGAGTAGCTCCAGTAGAAGATAAAATTAGAGAGAGTCGCCTTAGATGGTTTGGTCACATAAAACGACGACCTTTCGATGACCCGGTTAGGAGAGTAGAGGTATTAGATTTGACTTATGTTAAGAAAGGTAGGGGTAGACCTAAAAAGACTTGGTTAGAAAATATTA